TATCTCATTGTGGTTTTGATTTGTATTTCCCTGATGCCGAGTGAAGTGGAGCACTTTTTCATGTGTCTGTAGGCCAGCTGGATGTCTTCTTTGCAGAAATGTCTGTTTATGTCCTCTGCCCATTTCTTGATTGGATTATTTGTTCTTTGGGTGTTGAGTTTGATAAACTATAGATTTTGGATACTAGCCCTTTATCTGCTATGTCATTTGCAAATATCTTCTCCCATTCTGTCAGTTGTCTTTTGGGTTTTTTAACTGTTTCCTTTGCTGTGCAAAAGCTTTTGATCTTGATGAAGTCCCAATAGTTCATTTTTGCCCTTGCTTCCCTTGCCTTTGGTGGCGTTCCTAGGAAGAAGTTGCTGCGGATGAGGTCGAAGATATTGCTGCCTGTGTTTTCCTCAGGGATTTTGATGGATTCCTTCCTCACATTGAGGTCCTTCATCCACTTCAAGTCTATTTTTGTGTGTGGTGTAAGGAAATGATCCAATTTCATTTTTCTGCATGTGGCTGTCCAATTTTACCAACACCATTTGTTGAAGAGGCAAAGTAATGCAGATTTAACTAAACTACTGCTAACCTGGTTTTCAAAAGGGCTGTGCTGTTGCACATTCCCACCAGCAGCATATAAGAACTCCTGGTGGGCTCTCTGCTCAGCAGGGAGCCTGTTTCCCCCTCTCTCTTTCTGCTTGCCTCTCCGCCTACTTGTGATCTCTGTCAAATAAATAAATAAAATCTTTAAAAAAAAAAAAAAAAAAACAAAGAATTCCAGTTGCTCTACGCATCCTCACCAACAATTGGTATGGTCTGTTTTTAAATTTTAGCCAGTCTAACGGGTATACGGTAAAATCTTATTATGATTTTAATTTGTATTTCCCTAATAACTAAAGATGTTGAGCATCTTTTTATGTGCTTATTTGACATCTGTATATTGCCTTTAGCAAAATGTCTGTTCAGATATTTTGCCAATTTTCTAGAGGATTATCTATATTATTGAGTCTTTAAAATTCTCTTTCATTTTTTACCACTAAATATGTATGTAGTATGATCCTTTTTAAAGAGGAGTTTAAAAATTAAAGAATCCAGGTGCCTGGGTGGCCCAGTCAGTTGGGTGTCTGCCTTCAGCTCAGGTCGTGATCTCAGGGTCCTGGGATCAAATCCCATATTGGGCTCCCTACTCAGCAGGGAGTCTGCTTCTCCCTCTGCCTCTCTCTGTGCCCTCACTCTTTCTCTCTCATTCTCTCTCTCAAGTAAATAAATAAATCTTTTTTAAAAAATTAAAAATAAAAATTTAAGAATACAATCTGTATTTGTACATTAAGACACACTGGTAGTCCATACACCAAAACTAGTAATGCCTACTAAGAATAATAGTCTGGGGCAGAAGCAGTGAGGTTACTGGGGACTTGTTTTATATATTTCTATATTGCTTTTCAACAATCATATAAGATGTGATTAACTCGTTTCCCGTTGGCTGAGGGAGAGTTAGGGGAAAAAATCCAAATGAAAAGCCAAAAACTTCACTAGCAGCAACCAAATAAGTAAACCCTCAAGTTATGAAGTTCAAAAAGTCATGGCTAAGAAAACAGAAGAAAGATTTAGCTCAGCAAAATTCCATCTGATGTAGAGATGTGCAGACAAAATGAGTGAATAGACAGTCCTGGAATGAATCTACGAAAATAAAAGTTCTCAAGATTTGTAGCCCCAGGTACCACTGGAGGATCCCAACAGAGGCAGACACGACACCTGAGGTATGTCATCTCGGGGGAGCATGGGTATGAGTTAGATGAATCATCCAGAGCTGGACTGTGTGAGCCTGGACATTTCAGGGAACTTCAGCAGACCCAAACCCAAGACCCCCAAGCTGCCTTTTGTCCTTCCCTTGGTTCCAAAAAAGAAGAATATCGAAAGGAATATTCTATTCTAAAAGTACAGTTGGGGTAAGGAAGAGATAAACTGTCTCAAGTTGAGGTGAGAAGCCTGTCAAGGAGGATTCACATACTGTATCAGAGCAAATAAAAGATACAGGCAGAACTTTCCAGGTTAAACATGAGTAAAATGAGAAGAAATGGTCTGGCAGATATATAAATATGCCATGGGGTAAAGAGAAGTAGAAATAACTCATAATAAAGGCAAAGAACTATTCTGGAGAACAATATAATCCTATGAAAATAAGTAGCTTTTTTCTGAGTGCTTTATAATATATAGGACTTAATAAGAATATAGATTTGATAAAGCATAAGAGCTCAAACAGAAAAAATGATAAAACAACAAAATTAGGGAAAAAGGAAGCTGGAGAGCAAAGAACAAATTAAAACCTAATCAACATAATTCATTCTCTTTTTAAAAGATATTTATATATTTACTTACTTATTTGCAAGAGAGAGAACAAGGTGCATGGGGTGGGGAGGAGCAGGGAGGGAGGAAAAGAGTCTTGAACAGACTCTGCACTGAGCATGAAGCCCAAGGCAGGGCTTGACCTCTCGACACAGATTATGAGCCTGAAATCATGACCCTGAGATCAAGATCTGAGATGAAACCAAGAGTGTGACGCTTAACCAACTGAGCCCCCAGATATCCCAAGATAATTCATTCTGAAAGTACAGCAGATACAGCAAAAAGAAAGGGGGAAGGGGGAAGAAAGAAAATGTTTGAAAATCAAAGTAACAGCACAGAGGAAAGGGTTGGATTAATCACAGTTCATTGCTTTTACCTTTCCTTTCTCTTGCATTTGATAGTAAAAGGAAAGAACAGAAAAGGAGGATAAAGAAACAAGAAATCCAATGTTCCTAAGGTGGGAAACTTAACTAATGAAATAGAAAAAATGTTCAGAGGATATGATACAGAAGAATTTTCCAGCAATGAAGAAAGGACTCTTCTAGGGTACATATTAGGGGGAAATGATGCAGGATGATCACCATTGAGATGTGTGCACGCGCAAGCACGCAAACACACACACACACACACACACACACACACACATACACACACACACAGTTACCTGCAAGGGAGAAAAACAAAAGGCTAGCCAGCCTCACACTTCATCACAGTCACATTCAGTGGCAGAAGACAATGGAGTAATGTCTACAACATTCTGAGGGAAAGAAAGTGTGACCCAAGAATACACTCTCCAGCCAAGATATCACTCAAGTATAAAGTCACTAGGCAGACATTCTTAACATGAACAAGTAAAATAAATACAGCTTTTGCAAGCCCTTCTTGAAGGAACTTCTCAGTGAAAAAAATGCAAACAACCAAGAAATAAATGAGAGGAAAGAAATCAGAAACATAGAGAACCCATGGTCCAAGGCCTGGTTATAAGCATACAATCCCTTTAAATATGAACTAACACTAAACAGACAGATAAAACAGATGATTTATGTTAGCATAACAGAATGTAAATGTTACAAGTGCTGACAAGGCAAAAGTATTTGAGTAATAAAAAATGGGAGTAGGGGAAAACATTGGGAGAAGGTAGAAGAAAGCTAATCTCCTCCTCTTTCATAGCAGAGAGTCCACTGATAATATTGAAACAGGTAGATTTTTTTAAAATGACTAAATGATTGACCTAGCACTCTATTCCTAGGTATCACCTAAAGGAAATGAAAATGTTATGTCCATACAAAAACTCGTAATGGAAGTTCATAACTGCATTACTTATCATAACCAAAAAGTGAAAACACCCCAAATGTCTATCAACAGATGAATTGATAAATTAAATGTGGTATATACATATAATAGAATATTATTAGAATATATAATAGAATAGTTTGGCAATAAAAAGAAATTAAGTCCTGACATATGCTATAACATGGATGAACCTTGAATACATTATGTTAAGTGAGAGAAGACAGTCACAAAGGGCCACATACTCTTTGATTCCATTTAAGTGAAATGTCCAGAATAAGCAAATATATAGAGATAGAAAGTAGATCAGTGATTGCTTAGGGGTGGGGAAGGATAAGCAAGTTGGAGAGAGTGATAGCTAAAGAGTACAGGGTTTCTTATTAACCTGATGAAAACTTCTAAAATCAGTTGAGCTGATGGTTGCATGGTTCTGTGAACACTCTAAAAACCACTGCATTATACACTATAATGGGTGAATTGTATAGTATGTGAATTATATCCCAATAAGGGTGTTACCAAAAAGACACTAGGAAAAAAAAATGACTAACTACTCAATGGTTTTTATTATTTTTTTTCTTAAACTTAGAAGGGTATTAATGACTAGTATCTTTTATGGTAAAGAAACATTTGTTGAAGATGGGCAATTCTTCAATTTTATTTCTTCTGTTTTAGTCTGTTAAATTCAAGTAAAATTATATAGCGTGCTTTCAATGTATATATTATGATCCAATATTATACAAATTTTTCAGTCTATCCACCCACCCATCCTTCTATCTATCTATATGCACAAAAGATATCTGAAATAATTTTCACATGTGAATACTGGGCTAGTAGGAATTTGGGTGATTTGTTGCTTTATTTATTGTTTCCTTGTTTCCTATACTGGTTAAATTTGTAATAATGAGTATGCGTAATTTTTTTCATCTTTAAATTGTTCTTAACAGAACAGAGTAAGGGTGTCTGGGGGGCTCAGTTGGTTTAGCATCTGCCTTTGACTCAGGACATGATCCCAGGGTCCTGGGATCGAGTCCCATATTGGGCTCCCTGCTCAGTGGGGCGTCTGCTTTTTCTTCTCCTTTTGTCTCTCCTCCCTGCTCATGCACACCTTCTCTCTCTCTTTCTCTCTCTCTCTCTCAAATAAATAAATGTTTCTTTTTTTTTAAAAAAAGAACGAAGTAAATATGCCAAAATGTTAATGTTTACATGTGGGTGTAAGATTAGGATTTTTCTCCCCTCTTTCTTTATTCTTTTCTGTGCTTTCCAAATTTTCCTGTAAATAAACAGCTATTATTTTATAAATAGAAAAAAGTTTAAAATAATATTAATATAAGTTAAAAGGATGTGTAGCATTTCTGTAAATGATTACTAGTTCTTACCTGGGTTCCTTCTGTTGCTCCTGAATGATCCTTCTTCCTGGCCAGATATCATCCATCTGTGACTGAGGAAGAAGGGACTGTCCCAGTGTCTCTCTTTTATTCACTTGAAGACAAACAAAAGCATGGCAGAGTGGTGGTGATAAGCGGGGAAGGGAAACATATCACACTTGCAGAAGGGATGGCAATATAATCTTTATATTCCCCCACAGAGCTCATGAAGTGTAGATACTACCAGTAAGACTATAATAGGATGCAACATCGGGTGGTCTATCACTGAAGTCAAGCACCTCAAAACAACAACAACAACAAAAACGTTTCCAAACAGGGCCACTACCTGTAGGCTTGCGGCGCAGGGACATCCTAATTATCTCACTGCCTGTGTGGTAAGCAAAGCGATTCACTTTCTGGTCATAAAACCAGTCTCCAGTTGCCTTCTTCAGCTCTCTGGGAAAGAATAAAAGAAAGTGACAGCGGATTTTTTTTTTTTAATGGCTCCTGTCATTCAACTAACAAAGGCCAAGGAGGGAAATTCTCCCCCACAGCTGGGGCTTCCTTTTCTCTCTCTCCATAGGTGATACTCACATTTCCTTGGTGCACACCTTGCACCTCCAGGTACCATTACTTTCCTGGATGCAGCAGTCCCGACACACCAGGTGATTACAACCCCGACAAGTGTTGGTCTTGGGAGTCAAACGGCCCAGGCTCTCCTGGCACCGGGCACAGGTCCGATCACTATAGTGTTGACTGCCCCTCTTGGCCCCTTTCCTTTTTATCTCCAGTAGCTCATTCTTCAGTCTCCTGCCAAGACCCCAGAGAGAAGCACAAGTGTATTCACAATCTGTATAGGTTGGAATGGAAAGTTGTTGAGGGGTAGAGACAGTAAGACTATTGGTTCTGTGGAAGCAACAACTTCAGAGCCCAATATGACCCAGTGAGGAATTGTAAACTGTACACAAGTTCCTCTGAAAGTCACATGGGCAGTATAAGGAAAGGTCCAGATAAAACTGGCTTTTTCTGGAACTCTTACCTGATCCTTTTCTCATCTGCTTTCCGGAGCTCCTCATCTCGTTGTAGAACACTGAGGATCAAATCCCTCTCCACCTCAGATAGAAAAGAGAGGTCAAGTATCTCTGACATGTTACTCTGGTTTTTTCTTCTACTCTTCCTTCTTCAAAGCAGCCAGACCAGGAGAGCCACCACAGCTGCCTGAAATAAGAGAACTATTTTCACACAGTTAATTTACTCCAGAGTAGGTCCACAGCCCTAGAGCCTCTTAGTAGGCTACTGTCCCCTGAAGTCAGGCTAAAAAAGACAATGTAGAAATATCTGACTTATTTACCGTTCCTACTCCCACCTGAATTCTGCCCTGAAAATGAGGAGGCTTTGATTTTTCAAGATGAAAAACATATTCATGACTCTGGAAAAGAGCTGAGTCTTTTCAGCTGGAATAAGCACAGAACAGCTAAGTCAAACTTTCCTGACACCAAGTGAATCCCCAATCATCCAATTTTCAATACTTCACATGTTCTCAAGTCCCAAGTCTAATCCAAATAATCAGACAGCTGGTCTCTGTAGTGGAGAAGAAAACCACATGGGGACATCTGCCAGCTGAAGCCCATTTCTCCTTGCCTGACCAGCTTCCATGTTCTTCAGACTCAGCTTTACACTGCACTCCAAAACTTCCGTCACCTACTCTATCTCCCAAAGTTCTTATTGCTACCACTACCTGAAGAATATCTTCACCCATTACACACACATTTGTTAAGCACCCACTCCGACAGGCACTGAGCAAAGTGCTAGGGTTACAGAGAAGAGTAAGACACAGTTATTTTCCTTAAGAAGTTCACAGACGGGGCACCTGGTTGGCTCAGTGGGTTAAAGCCTCTGCTTTCTGCTCAGGTCATGATCCCAGGGTCCTGGGATCGAGCCCCACATCGGGCTCTCTGCTCAGCGGGGAGCCTGCTTCCTCCTCTCTCTCTGCCTGCTTCTCTGCCTACTTGTGATCTCTTTCTCTGTCAAATAAATAAATAAAATCTTAAAAAAAAATAAGTTTACAGACTAGTAGGGGAGACAGATACATATAATACAGTATAATGCACAAAGTGCTGTCAAAGGGACAATAAATTTAATGCTATGGGAAACTAAAGAAGGAAGTAATTAATTCTACCCTGCATAGACAGAAAAGAGAAAGAGCTGTACACATGAAGATTTTACAGAATAGGTGGATTTTTCCTTACAAAACAGTATTTTTTCTTTTTCTTTTTTTTTTTTTTTTGGTGGTGGTGGGGGGAATGATAGGAAAGATGTTTGTGCTAAATTTTATAACCCTCATTCTTTTTAAAAAAAATATTTTATTTACCTTTTGAGAGAGAGCACAAGCAGGGGTGGGACTGAGGAGCAGAGGGAGAGGGAGAAGCAGGCTCCCCACTGAGCAGGGAGCCTGATGCAGGGCTTGATCCCAGGTACCTGGGATCATGACCTGAGCCAAAGGCAGCTGCTTAACCAACTGAGTCACTCAGATGCCCCGACTGACTTCTTTTCTTGTCTTTCTTTTTTTTAAGATTTTACTTATTTATTTGACACAGAGAGAGAGACAGCAAGAGAGGGAATACAAGCAGTGAGAGTGGGAGAGGGAGAAGCAGGCTTCCTGCTGAGCAGGGAACCTGATGCAGGCCTCGATCCCAGGACTCTGGGATCATGACCTGAGCTAAAGGCAGACCCTTAACAAACTGAGCTACCTGGTGCCCCTGTAACTCTCATTCTTAAATATTTAAGATTTTTTGAATTTATTACACAGACAATAGAAGTCCATCTAACATGTTTGTTATTGCTTTGTTTTTGATGTTAGGAAATCACATGATCAAATCCATTTTACAGAGATCACTCTAGCTTTAGTACAAAAGATTTATTCAAAAGACAAATTGAAGTGCATTCTGAAAGTATATGGCACATTGTAAAATACGTACATTCCTTAGCTAAGCAATACCACTTCTAAGAATCTATCAGTAAAAATATTCATAGAAATGTGCATACAACAGTACATATACAAGAATGTTACTGCAGTATTATTTGTAAGCAAAGCAAAAAAGTTCTTTGAACAAAACAATACTTCCATATAATGGCACACTATGCAACCATTAAAAAATGTGTTAGGTCTGTATGAAAATATATCTCAGAGTGGAAAAAAATGCAGTTTCCAGACTATACTGAATGATTTCTTTGGTAAAGTATTTATCTATACATTTGTATATGTAAAGGAAAAGATCTGGAAGAAAAATCATAATCACTGGTTTCTTTGGGGAATAGAATTGGGAGGTGGCATATTTTACTTTTTATTGTAAATGGTTATGATTTTTTTTCTACACAAAAATATCTTACTTCTAAATCCTATAAAAAGAAAATTGAAAGGAGACAGGGGGATTATTGTAATAATCAGACAAAAGACAATCTAGGTTTACTAAGTGCACCTCTAGCCAACTTGGCAAGTCTTTTTATTTCTGTCACCCTCTGGTTTCTCATGTACAAAATGATCTATTTCACAAAGTTATCAAAAAATGAAATAATATGTGTTAAAGGGCCAATCACAACTCTTGAAACCCATTTTTGGAATACATGTACTTGCTGAATCTGCTCCAGAGCAAGTGGAAACCAGGGCAGCAAGACAAAGAACAGAGTAATAAAGTTTGAGAAGCAGAACTGACAGAATGGAGTGACTAAGAGGATGAAGAAGGCAAAGTCAAAGATGCCTACATTGCATGTTTGGGTTTAATAAGAGATGGATTAGTGACAATCCTAACAGTGGTAAGAGTTATAAGAAAAGAACCAGGTGTGGAACTAAAGCAAGAGGTTTCATTTTAGTCATACTGAGTTTGCACTACATACAGGATATCACTGTAATTAGGCCCAGGAAGTAGTTGGAGGCACAGGGCTGGTCCTTAGAAGAGGAACTGTATCTGAAAGGACAGATTTGGTAGTCACGGCTGTCAAAGAGCTCAGGGAAGACACAGTGAGAAAGGAAATGAGGATCCTATTTGCTTTTTCTGCTCTCCCTTGAAACTAGACCATAAGACCCTTTTTACTCTTTTTTTTTTAACTGACTACCTATAGGACAATAAAAAGTATAGTTATAAGGTTTCTGAAACCTCAACAGTTTCTTGGTTATTTCCTGGTCTTTATTGAACTGTTAGATACTAAGCTTCTGGGATGCCTAGGGGGCTCAGTCATTAAGCGTCTGCCTTCAGCTCTGGTCATGATCGTGGGATCCTGGGATCGGGCCCCCTGTCAGGCTCCCTGCTCACCATGGGGTCTGCTTCTCCCTCTCCCTCCACCCCTCCTCCTGCTTGTGCATGCTCCCTCTCTCTCAAATAAATAAAATCTTTTAAAAAAAAAGGTAATAAGCTTTTTTAATAGACCCTTTCAGAGATAATCTTGAGGAAGAATTCTTAGTTTTTATACCCAAGGAGAATACATATAGCCTATGAGAACAAGGACTTTTTCAGTATTCTTCTATGTATCTGGCCCAGCGCCTAATGGAATATTTACCACATAGTGTTCTACATGCTGCCACTATTGTTGATCATCATCGCTGTCATTACCCCACTGGTTCCATCTATTGAGAAGTGACTATAATGCCGGGCAACACAATACTTTATATATATTAACTACTTTAATCTTCATAACAACCCTAAGAATAGAATGAGGTACTACTGTTATCCTGTTATCCCCATTTTATAGATGAGAAGTCAGGAGAGGTTAGGTTAACCTGCCCAATAATAAAGTAAATGAAGTTGCTGAGATTCAAGTTCAGGCAATATGATTCTAGAGCTAGTGCTCTACTGGCTCTGTCCAGGCAGGATCATAGCCAAAGCAATTATAAAATATTGAACAGTGGGGTGCTTCAGTCAGTTAAGCACCTGCCTTCGGCTCAGGTCATGATCCCCGGGGTCCTGGGATACAGCCCCGCATTGGGCTCCCTGCTCAGTGGAGAGTCTGCTTCTCCCTCTCTCTCTGTAGACCCCCCTGCTTGTGTTCTCTCATTCTGTCAAATAAGTAAATAAAATCTTTAAAAATAAATAAATAAATAAAATATTGAACAGAGCAATCAAAAGCATTGTGCAAATGGATTCTCCTATGTGTGGTTGGGAGGGAAGCACTGGCCAAAATATCAGCCTCTCATGGATAAAACAGGTGTCACCACCTGCCTGGCAGCTAAAGACCAAGGATAGCACAGGCACACTGGGAATGAGCACAAAACCAGATTCGTGGAGCGGCAGCAGAGTTCTGTGATGACACAGGCCCACTGGCACAGTAATGAGAAAAAGTAGTATCAAGAGCCAGGGAGGTAAGAACATTGTTGAGGAAATAAAGACATCATCCTAAGAAAATGGAACTGCTAATACTGTATATCTTCCCTTTGTTTCTCACTCATAGACTTGATCCACCAGAACTGCCTCCTTCTAAAATTTTAAATTCAAGAATCCCCATTTTCTTACCACAGCTCACTCCTACTAAACCTGTTCTTCAACCTCATGAACACCACAGTCTCTTGAGGCCACCTTTCATTTTCTCTTGGTCTACTTGCCTCCTGATGATCTATTTTCCTTCCCAACCCATCCTGGACTCCAAATGACTCAACATTTTAATGATTCTCACAAGTATCTTCCATATCCATGTATCTTCATCCCTCTGCTATAACTGCCCATCAAAATCTCAAACCTGTACCAATGATATAGTCTTGCCTTGTATGTTCCTATACCCAAGTCCTACACAATGTTTGGTCTCCGACCTCAGGTGGACCTTCACTATCACCCATAAGTCTTTTTACTTGCCCTGAGTTCAGTTCCTTTACCCAGTCTCTTCAGGTTCTATTTTTAAGCTTTCATTCATCTCATCCCACATTCCCACTTCCCTTTCCTCCAGGTCCTATCAGACATCCTTGTTTCACACTTGTAAAGAAAAAAAAGATTTTAAAATCCATCACCCATAACTTCCTCAGCTCCCTGCCTCCTCTCTCCTATAACTTGCCAATCTTACTCCTTTCAGAAAAGCTACATCCCACCCTCACCCACCCTCACCCCACCTTTGGCCATGGGTTGCTATTTCAAATACTAACCCTGTTACCGGCCAGTTTGCCTGAGATACAATCTTGCATAATCAGTAGTGGAGGGAAGAAAACAGGATAAGAAAAAAATTTCTGAGGCAAGGGGAAAAAGGAAAGCATAGGAAAAAAATGAAAGAAATAACAAAAAGAAGATGGTAAAAACAAACTCTAACATATCAATAAACAAACAAAAAAATATATGAGTAAAACTCACCCATTAAAATGCAGAGGTTAACAGACCAGATAAAATTTTTTAGAATCCAGCTATGTGCCATTTTACAAGGGACACATCTAAAACATAAAAGATGAGGAAAGACTGAAAACACAAAAGATAGAAAAAGATATACCAGGTAAATGCCAACCCAAAGAAAGTTGATGTAGCTAATATTAACATCTAAAAATAAAACTTCAGGACAATGAAAGCATTATAACACACAAAGAATATCAGTACATAAATAAACCTGTATGCACTAAGTAAACACTTCCAAATATATAAAGGAAGATCAAGTATACTAGAGAGAAACTGAAAAATCAGACATCAAAGTGAAAGATTAATATGCCTCTTTCAGTTATTGATAGTATCAGCAGATAAAAAATTAGTAAATATATAGACAAGCTGAACAACAAAATAAGTTTGATTTAGTGGACATATGTAGAAATCTATATACAATTGCAAAATCACATTCCTTTCAAGAACATGTGGAACATCTATCCCCCAAATTATCATGTACTAGGTTGTAATACAAGTCTCAGTAAATTTCAGAAATATACGTGAGATATATATGTACCTCACATATATTTATATATATATGAGAATATATACATATATATTCTCATGCAGATCATGGTTTCTGACCTCAGGGAAATTAAATATGAGGCTAATAACAAGAGATCATTTTTAATCCCAAAGCATTTTGGAAATTTAAAGACATTTCTGAATAACTCACAGGTCAAATGAAAATTATAACTGTACTAAATCTATCATTAATATCTTAAAGAAACCTGCTGCCTGTTTTACCACCACTACCAACCCCATACCACAGAATGTATTCTAGAAATTCAAAGGAGAAAATATGGAATAAAACTAATGCTTTTGTATGCAAAGGGCTTAATGGTAAATGATGGTAATGGTAAATGATATAACATGTTTTGAAAAACATAACTCGGAAAAATAATGGAGGCACAAATAAAACCAGACAGATTCGAAGTTAGGAAACCTGTGACCTTTTATATTCTCCCAACTGATGAATCCCAGGATTTAGTGGAGAAACCAAAGCTCAGAAATACTTGTTAAGGCTTTTCACTGAAATTCAGTCACAGATGTTTAGTCAAAAGAACAAGGATTATCTACTGAGAAGACAACTGCTCAGATAACATGAGTTTCCAAACCCAAGCTCTGATGGACAATTTGTTCCATGTTAGTTGTAGGGGGTCAGGACTCAGATTAAGTATCTTTTTTTTGATATTTTATTTATTTATTTGACAGAGAGAGAGAGAGAGAGAGAGAGAGAGAGAGAGAACACAAGCAGAGGGAATGGCAGAGGGAGAAGCAGACTCCCTGCTGAGCAGGGAACCTGGCAGGGGGCCAGATCCCAGGACCCCAGGATCATGACCTGAGCTGAAGGCAGACTCTTAAATGACTGGCTACCCAGGGGCCACTCAGATTAAATATCTTAATATTGCATGCTTGTGGGACCTCATACCCACAGGAAGTTATTTTAGAAAAGATGGTTTGTTTATTTAGAAAATTACACACATTTACTGCTAAATTCAGAATAATATTGTAATGGAAATATAAAAACCAGGCGAAGCTGGAAAATCTATCAAAATGGAAGGTTAACATACCTCTCTCAATTATATATCCAAGTGAATATATTTAAATTATACCCTAAATCTATGATTAGAAGATAATAATAATTAATAAGTGAACATTAACACTAGCAGCTAGTTTTCATGAAGGGGCGGGGAGAGCTTTCCCAAGTTATTTTAAATTCTGAAGACCAGTTATAAAAACAAAACCTGGGTCAAACTCATAGGAAGCATGGAATACTGAATATAGTGGTGTAAGACAAACTTGGGTTCAAATCTTAGCTTTGCTATTTATTAGTTATACGACCTTGGACAAGGACCCAAAGTATTTTTAAAAAATTATCAAAAATATAGAAAGCCTTAGAAGAATAGTATTTACATTAAAAATCATTGTTGGTGTTCCCCAAATGGAAACTGATATGAATCAGAAAAATACCAAATAATGTCCCTGCACCAGGAAGCAAATAAACAGGTTTCTCTGTGTTTAATTTGTTGGGCACCTTGGTCCCTCTCCCTCTCCCCAACATATGGTGCATATTCAAACTAGAAACTTCTACCATACGTAAACTCCTTGGGGGAAAGCACTGCATCTGAACTTCATATCCCCAGGAACTTATTTAGCACAGTGTTTGATACACAGTATAAATTCAATAAATGTTTACTGAGTGTTTTCACCCTGAATTCTATTTATATTTATATGTTTAAATTTAACTCATGGAAACTGAAGAGCAGCAATATTGCTGAGAGAAACGTGGTTTTGCTTTCCTGAAGCTGTATAGTGTTGTGGTTAAGGGCACAGACTCTGGAGCCAGACTGCCTGTGAGAAGATTTATACTGTTACATGTCAGATTCTGTATACTGTTGAACATAGATAAGCAGAACTGATATGGCTAATATAAGAGATGTGATGGTGTCTACATTTTTTAAAAGGTGAGAATTGAAACTGGGCTACAAATTAACATTGGTAATGAAAATTGGGATTTTAGAATGTCAGTGGACTTCTAATTCTAGCTAAGATGGGGTAACAAAAAAATGGATTTCCACCTTGCCTGAAAGAAGCCACTGCCCCAAATGGATAAAATACATGAAGCAGCAGTGTTTGCAAGACACTGAACATCAGGCAATGAAGAACTGTGATTCCTGAGAGATAATAAACAAACAGGGTGAGACCTCGGATTTTCCAGGCTCACTGTCTTGAGACACTTCTCAGACTACGGTGCAGGGAACAGGAACGTAGGAAGAACCTGGCGAACTTGAGCTGAGGTGACAGAGCTGACAGTCTGGGAAAACGCAGGTGGTTAAACTACATAGGAGAATACCTGAGAGAGCTGCACACAGATCTTTGGAGGAGCTGCCAAGGGTCTCCCTTGAGTATTCAGCATAGCACTGATCAGTGCATGGCATGCCTGTGATGAAATTACCAAAGGTCAAGGACAGAACCAACTGTTCCACCAGCCAAACTGGAAAACCTCATGATTCACAGGGCATGGGGAAAAGTACTCAGAAGGGTCTTGCTTCCATAATGAGGATGAATTAGCCCTAGACTGTGTACTGGTCCAGTCCTGCCTAACATAACTAAACAAAACAGCCTGAAAGGATCAATCTGTTTCTAAGTAACCCAAGTGAATCCCAGAACAGAGCTCAAGTGTATTTGTAGTAATATAAAAGATATGCAGCACCCAGCAAAGTAAAATTCAAATTAACAGTAATGATTTGTAACAACATGGATGAACCTAGAGGGTATTATGCTAAATGAAATAAGTCAGACAGGGAAAGGCAAATACTATATGATTTCATTCATATGTGGAATCTAAAAACACGAAACAAATGAACAACCAAACAAAAACAGAAACAAAATCATAAATACTGAGAACAAACTGGTGGTTGGCAGAGGAGGAGGAGGGTGGGAGAATGGGTAAATAGGTGAAGGGGAATGGGAGGTACAGGTACATTTGAGGTGAGCTCAACACAGCATAACATATAGAGTTACCAAATCGTCACAGTGCAAACCTAAAATTAATATAACATTACGTGTCAACTATACTTCAGTTAAAAAAATTGACAGGCGATATCTCATTGTGGTTGGAGATATCACCTCACACCAGTCAGAATGGCTAAAATTAACAAGTCAGGAAATGACAGATGCTGGCGAGGATGCAGAGAAAGGGGAACCCTCCTACAATGTTGGTGGGAATGCAAGCTGGTGCAACCACTCTGGAAAACAGCATGGAGGTTCCTCAAAATGTTGAAAATAGAACTACCCTATGACCCAGCAATTGCACTACTGGGTATTTACCCTAAAGATACCAACGTAGTGATCCAAAGGGGCACGTGCACCCGAATGTTTATAGCAGCAACCTCTACAATAGCCAAACTATGGAAAGAACCTAGATGTCCATCAACAGATGAATGGATAAAGAAGAAGTGGTATATATATATACAATGGAATACTATGCAGCCATCAAAAGAAATGAAATCTTGCCATTTGCGACAACATGGATGGAACTAGAGGGTATCATGCTTAGCGAAATAAGTCAATCGGAGAAAGACAACTATCATATGATCTCCGTGATATGAGGAAGTGGAGATGCAACATGGGGGGTTAAGGGGGTAGGAGAAGAATAAATGAAACAAGATGGGATTGGGAGGGAGACAAAACATAAGTGACTCTTAATCTCACAAAACAAACTGAGGGTTGATGGGGGGAGGGGGGTTGGGTTATGGACATTGGGGATGGTATGTGCTATGGTGAGCGCTGTGAAGTGTGTAAACCTGGCGATTCCACCACTTCCTCTCTGGGAACCACAGGTTTGTTCTTTGTATTTAAGAGTCTGGGTCTAACTCTTGTTCAACATAGTATTAAAAGTCCTAGCAACAGCAATCAGACAACAAAGAGAAATAAAAGGTATCCAAACTGGCAATGAAGAAGTCAAACTCTCTCTCTTCGCAGATGACATGATTCTTTATATGGAAAACCCAAAAGACTCCACCCCCAAACTACTAGAACTCATACAGCAATTCAGTAACGTGGCAGGATACAAAGTCAATGTACAGAAATCAGTGGCTTTCTTGTACACTAACAATGAAAATACAGAAAGGGAAATTAGAGAATCGATTCCATTTACCATAGCACCAAGAACCATAAGATACCTGGGAATAAACCTAAGCAAAGAGGTAAAGGATCTGTACTCGAGGAACTACAGAACACTCATGAAAGAAATTGAAGAAGACACAAAAAGATGGAAGACTAATCCATACTCTTGGATCGGAAGAATAAACATTGTTAAAATTTCTATACTGCCTAGAGCAATCTATACTTTTAATGCCATTCCGATCAAAATTCCACCGGTGTTTTTCAAAGAGCTGGAGCAAATAATCCAAAAATTTGTATGGAATCAGAAGAGACCCCAAATTGCTAAGGAAATGTTGAAAAACAAAAATAAAACTGGGGGCATCATGTTACCTGATTTCAAGCTTTACTA